CCTGGGGTCGTTTGGGACGTGTTATATGGTGGCCAGTTGGGAGTGTAGCTCACCCCTGGTTTACTACACCCACTGTCTACTAAAGCCCCCCATTCCAAGAGCTGTCGCGTCTACACAACTACAAAGAGGCATCAGCATCACCCTGACCACACACCCGAGGCAACAAGCAACACTGATGCATGAGCTCGTTGCATGATCCCATTCTAGTAAATAAAAATAAAATCCATAAAATTCTTATTAAGAGCGGCCCGTGGCAAGTAATGAGACGTCGATAACACGCTAACATAGTTTAAACGTAACCCTTTTTAAGCGAGGTCACGGGAATTATAATTTAAAATACATTATAAAAAGGAAAATTATACCATATAATTAAAGTATGGAAGATTATACCATAGTACTAATTCGTATAAACAATAACGTAACGTCTTTATATAACAAAACCAACACAAACAATTTCGAACAATTCCCTTTTTAAAAATTAACCACCGAAGTAAACAAACGAATGAAAGTAAATAATAAAAATCCAATTCCTTGTTTAAAATGAATCAACAGAGTAATTAAACAAAATGGCCGTATATCGTGTTTTTACTTTTACAATATCTATACCTAAATTTAGTGTAAATTTAGTGTCAGAGAAGCTAAGTAGGATTGTTTTGCTGTTACATTCTAGAAGGATGGTTTACCAAGGTAGTTTACGGGGAGTCTGCTTGAAAATAGGTTTACCAACTTCTGCGGTAGATGAGTAAAATAGAGACCGTATGTGAGAGTGATTGTGAGACAGCGAGTATGTATGTGTGAGAGCGAGTATGTGAGAGTGAGTATGTGTATGTGACAGCGAGTATGTGAGTGTGTGAGCGAGTATGTGAGTGTGAGAGCGAGTATGTGAGCGAGTATGTGAGAGCGAGTATATGAGTATAAAGCGAGTGGCTATGTGAGTGACTGAGATAAAGGGTGAATATGGTACCTCGTTAGTCTTGGGCTGGACAATCCCCCCCCCACCAGCTAGTCCACCTCCCCCACCTCCCTTACCCCCCAGTCCACCTCCCTTACCCCCAGCTAGTCCACCTCCCTTACCCCCAGCTAGTCCACCTCCCTCATCCCCCAGCCTGACCTTACCCCCTTCCTACCCCCCCCACATCCACCTCCCACCCCCCAGCTAGTCACCCCACAGCCAGTCCACCCCTTACCCCCAGCTAGTCCTCCCATGTCCACCCCCCCCCCAGCCTGTCCACCTCCTTACCCCCAGCTAGTCCACCTCCCTACCCCCAGCCAGTCCACCTCCTTACCCCCAGCTAGTCCACCTCCCCACTTCACCTCCCCAGCCAGTTCACTCCCCAGCCAGTTCACGGTCTACCTGACTACACCCCCAGTTGGTCTTACACCCCACCACACCCCAGCTGGTTTACACACACCCCAGCTGGGTTACACCTACTACACACCCCAGCTGGTTTACACTTTACACACCCCACTGGTTTACCCACACACCCCAGCTGGTTTACCTACTACACACCCAGCTGGTTTACACACACTTTACATACACACCCCAGCTGGTTTACACTGCCCACCCCAGCTGGTTTACACCCTACACACCCCCACCCCAGCTGGTTTACACCCCACACCCAGCTGGTTTACACCCCTACTACACACCCCAGCTGGTTTACACCCTGGTTTACACACCCCCAGCTGGTTTACACCCCACCCCAGCTGGTTTACACCTACTACACGCCCAGCTGGTTTACACCCTCACACACCTCAGCTGGTTTCAACCCTACCAGCACTACTCAGCTGGTTTACACCTACTACACCCCAGCTGGTTTACACCCCTACTACACCCCCTACACACACCAGCTGGTTTACACCCCTACCACACCCCCAGCTGGTTTCACACCTCTACACACACCCACACCCAGCTGGTTTACACCCTACACCACACACCCTAGCTGGTTTACACACCTCACACACACCACCAGCTGGTTTACACCCAGCTGGTTTACCCCTCACTACACAGCTGGTTTACACACACCCCAGCTGGTTTACACCCTTTACTACACACCCCAGCTGGTTTACACCCCTACTTACACAGCTGGTTTACACTCACACACCCCAGCTGGTTTACACACACACACCCCAGCTGGTTTACACACCCCTACTACACAGCTGGTCGTGGCGATGGAACAATCAATAACACTTAAAGAGGTATTCACTGTATACTACCACAGGGTCATACACCACACTCGCTTAAAATAGCCTCGTGTGTGTGTGTGTGTGTGTGTGTGTGTGTGTGTGTGTGTGTGACTTTAGTAAAATTTTCTCATCTTTTGTTTACTTCCTGTGTAGAACAGTTATTAATACAATAGAGCCACACACACACACAGTGTTGGGGTTTAGCTAGGGTGGATGCTGTGTGTCGTGTGGATAGTGTCTTTGTAATGTGGATACTGTCTTTGTTGTGTGGATTATAACAGTGGCGTAGCTACTGAGGGCGGGGGGAGGGGCAGAATGACCCCTGAGAAAATTTAGGGATATAATTTGTTACAAACTGCAATTTGTGTGTGAGAGAGAGAGAGAGAGATAGATCTGATGGTCTGGCAGGTGGCAGCCCCCTGCCATGCGTAGAGTACACGTTTATTCGTACAGGTTTTGAGGCATGACCACAGTCCAATACCTACTCTTGGTGTCTGGGTGCTCCCTCAATCACACGCATTGAGAAAATTTCTGAGCCTCCACCCCCTCCCCCCTGAAAAATATCCTGGAATCGCAACTGTGTGGATGTACTGTAGTTCTTATCGTGTGGATGCTGTCCCGAGTGGACACTGTCGAATGGATATTGTCATCGTAGTGTGGGTAATAATTCTGCTGTGCGGATATAAACTTTGCCTGTGCAATATTTTTGGTTTCGTGCAGGCTTAGATCTTATCATTATATACTATAAATATTATTAGTAATATCTAAGGTCTTCATTATTACTATTATTATTAATATCATCACCAGTATTATTTCTATCATCCTTTTTACATCATCGTTTTTAAGTCGAAAACAACTTATTTTCATATTTATTTACTTTCATATAATTTATATTTTTCATAAAAAATAACTATATATATATATATATATATATATATATATATATATATATATATATATATATATATATATATATACACACACACGATAGCGTGTAAAAATAAAATTTGTTGAGCCTCAAAACAGGAATGAACGAGGGTTTAGCACGGCGGCAACAATAAAACACACCATAAAACACAAACACACAAAAATTTCCCAAATAATCGTGGATATACAAAATAAATTCTCTCGTCGTGATTTTTTTTAGGCTCGTAGCGGCTTAATGGCTCATGTATTGTATAGCAGGCGATATAAAGTTGTATTGTTGAGACTGTTACGAACAATGCGTATACGCTATATTACTGTGCATGTTGTGTCTGTCATACAGTGTGATCAAACGTAACCTAACCAACAGTGTGGTAAAACGTATACTATGTACTCTCATACAGTACTCACACATAAAATATAAACTACATTGGACGTATATGTTCTGTTTACATATAGTCTATAACAGCTTTCACACACACACACACACACACACACACACACACACACACCCTAATCTCTACAATTCAGTATATTATTCCTAAATTAATATAAAAAATATCTAAATTAGAAGAACAAATATAGACCGCAAAAATCTTCCCGACCTCTCGCAGCGTGTCAAAATGTTCTGCCATCTTACAAACAAGACTGAAATATTCTTTAACTGTTACATTTATCATGGAAGTGTGCTTTTGAGTCTTTCGTGGACAGGTGAGTAAGTATTAATGTTCCTCAGGTATTTAAGTGGGCAGGTGAGTAGTGCTAATTTTCCTCGGGTATTATAAGTGGATAAGTAAGTTTCCATGTTCCTCGGGTATTTAAGTGGACAGGTGAGTAAGTGTTCATGTTCCTCAGGTATTTACGTGGATAAGTGAGCGAAAGATCGTGTTCCTCTGGTACATAATACGATGGCAGCTGATGGAGGGGAAGTGTTCGTCTGAGTAACACATATTCTAAACCGTGAAGTGACTCGATTTGTTTTTTTGCTACATAAACACCCCATTATTTACAAGTCTACAGGCAAAGGAAAAAAAAAAAGCATATTCCAACATTACTATTATACACGATAGAGCTGAACACAAGTAAACAGCTGGGCATGTCACTGAAAAAAACAAACAAAAACAACAACAATAATTCTCGTACGGTATGTGACACAGCCGTCAGCCTATGTCATGACAGTCTTCCACGTGTCTGTGTCATAGGTTTTATTTTTACAGGTCATCTAGACAGTTTCACCTTGCGTGGATGAGTGTGCCGGAAGCCATGTGGTTATCAGATAAATATGTTGAGTGTAATTCATCATCAACTATAAAGCTGTCCTTCAGTTAGTATAGGTGCGGTATGGCTCGTAAAGACACTCCCATAATTATTCAAAATCTTTAAGAAAAACCCTAATAACACCTGTGACCTGGGAACATACAGGTTCTAAGACCTGGCGAGTGTCCTCGGTATACAGGACCAGAGGAGTAGGAGAGCCTCATGAACCAGTCGTGGCAGGATGTCGTTTGAGGGGAAACTTCTGAAGAACTAGATGGTCTTTTTCACCCCATATATCTCTCTACTATAACTGTGAACCCAAAAGAACATTCATTTCCGATATTTTTAGTGGTGTTTTAGAATGTAATTTGAGTCTAAAATGGGTAAGAGGAGACCTGAGGCTATGAATAGATGCATGGTATGAAAAAGTCAATGCTATTTCAAGCTGTACAAAGGTCAGAGGTACTTCGGGAGGGAGGGCGGTATGAGCAGGGAGAACATGCAAACATATATGTACTGATCATGAACGCAGGAGGCGCTCTATTAGCAAGAAGCCTCCACAAGCAGCGGGTGAGTGGGGGAGGCTGTGAGACGAGCAGCGGAGGCCATGGAGAAACATTGAATCGGGTACTCACCAGGGGGCACGACACAAGAGCACCGGGGTATCTCCAGCTCGTTCTGACGGAGGCGCATCTTCAGGGCTTCCAGCTCACTCAGACCCGACGGTGGACTGGTGGTGTTGTCTTCTTGTTGTTGTTGTTGTTTCTGTTGTTGTTGTTGTTGTTGTTGTTGTTGTTGTTGCTGCTGTTGTTGCTGCTGTTGCTGCTGCAGCTGGTGTTGTTGTTGTTGCAACTGTTGCTGACGTTGCAAGAGTTGCTGGTGTTGTTGCTGATGGTGCTGTAGCAACTGCTGTTGTTGTTGTAGCTGCTGCTGTTGTAGCTGCTGTTGCTGTTGTAGTGGTTGTTGGTGCCTTAGGTGTTGCTGCTGCTGTTGGTGCAGTGACTGTTGCTGCAGTGACTGTTGCTGTTGTAACTGTTGTTGTTGCAAATGTCGTTGTCGCTCTTGCAGTTGTTGCTTCTGTTTCTGTTCCTGCAGATGATGAAGTTGGTGGAAGTTTTGGAGGTGTTGTAGCGGGTGGTACTGGAGGTTCTCTTGATTTACTGGAGCACAGTTGTCAGCCTGCTGAGGGCCAGGCTGATCACCAGTGCTCCCCTGCTGCTTACTGGCGTGTTGAGCATTCACTTGTGCTTGAGGTTGCTGGACGTTTTCCCGGTGAACACTGGACTGCTGACAACTGACAAGATACGGAGATGGATGCTCATGCTGTTGAAACAGACGCTGCCGTTGTTGCGTGGCTTGACTGGTGGCTGTGACGGGCGAAGGCGTTGTTTCAGAATTGGTGATGGTAGTGGTTGTGTTAGATGAATGATCAGGAACTGATTGTTGAGGCTGATAGGCAGAGGCAGGGGGCCCCGGGGGCCTGGTCTGCCCCCCAGCTGGTGCTGATGGGGGCAGACGGGGTGGTTGTGGCCCCGCGGGGGGTGGACGGAGCGGCACCTGGCCAGCTCCGGCCACACTAGCACACGCAGGCCGTGACACACACGGTCCTGCCCCCCTGACCCTGCCAAACCGAAAATCCTGACGGCTCTGGTTGGAGTCCGGACTGTCAGGGAAGTCGTACACAGACAGCTTCCAGCCGGGGTCTTGTTGGCGGCCAAATGTGCTTGGCTTAGACTCCAGCTGCTCAGCTGGCAGCTTATGATCCACCTGGTTCACTGATAGATTGCGTTCCAGTTGGTTCACTCGCGGTTTGTGGACCAGCTGGTCCAATGGCGACATAGGATCTAGCTGTCCAGCCGATGGCTTGGGGTCCAGCTGATCCACTGGCGGCTTGTGGTCCAGCTGTTCTTCCGGCAGGTGGGGGTCCGGCCCGTCAGGCGGTTTGGGTGCTATGCTACTCGAGGGGTCAGCTGGTTCTCTCTTAACTTCCACATCTTTACTAAGGTCACATTCACTTTCCGTTTCTACTTCTTCCTTTATTTCTTGCTTAATGTTAACATTTTCACTGTTAGTTTGACCACTGTGACACTGTGTGTTGGGGAGCGTCCCCTGCAGCGGTGCCCCCCCTTGTTGTGGGGGCGAGTCTATGCTGCTGGTGTTGGTGTGGGCCGTCGCGGCCTCCACACCGCCCTTCACATCAGTACTGTTAGCGTGGACTACAGAGCCCGGGCCAGACTCTGTAGTCCTATAGGCTAAAAAATTCTGGGCCATCTTGAGGGATTCATGCATGTGTGATGGCTCAGCGTTAGCAACACTGGTGACGGCCGCTACGTGGCCGGAGAAGTGCACCTCCCCTAGGGGCGGAGAGTCCACACTTCCCCCGGGGTAGCTGCTGCCCTGCCGGGACATTATCATGTTTTTAAGTCGGCTCTGCACGCTGACGGAACCGTGCGGGCTGCCCTGTGGCACACCCGCACCCCCCTCCAAGGCTTGACCCGAGTACCCGCCCGCAGTCACTCTAGAGCCGAGTAAACTCTGCGTGGGGGGAGGCGGCGGGTACCCAGGCTTCTCGTTTGGGTGATCAGGAGCGTGGGGTGTGTGGGGGGCGTGGGGTGACGGCAACGTCGTCATGGTGAAGCCCCCCGTCACCGGCGACGCCTCAGGAGCCGACACGGCAGGCGAAGGCATCGGCGACTTAAACATGCCGCCCTGTTGTTGTTGTTGTTGTTGTTGTTGTTGTTGTTGTTGTTGTTGCTGCTGTTGCTGCTGCTGTTGTTGTTGTTGTTGTTGCTGCTGTTGCTGCTGTTGTTGTTGTTGCTGTTGTTGTTGCTGCTGTTGTTGTTGTTGCTGTTGATGGAAGTCGTTAGATCCTGGGTAGCGGTGGTGATGGGGAGATGAACCCCCCACTACCCCGTTTCCCTGGTTTTGGCCAAGGAAACCATTGGGCGGGCCGTTACTGAATGCGGGGACGGAGGTCTGCGGTGTCTGCGGGGAGAAGTGTCCTTGCGGCACGTACCCGCCGTTGCCGTTGTCACCTCCGGCGTTGAATTGTCCGTTGAATTGGTTGTTGTACTGCGACACGGACACGCTTGGCGCAGGGGGCGCCGGCGCTCCACTAGGTCCACCAGGGAAGTTGAACATAGGTTGTCGAGGCTCGAACTGGTTGAACTGATGTGGTGGTGGTGGGGGTGGTGGGTGACCCATGGGTGGGTGGCCAAGGGCGGGAGGGTGGAAAGGCGGCGGCCACTGTCCTTGCGGCGACTCGCCTCCCCAGACAGCGTTAGGGAAGCGCTCCCGCATGTGTGGGAAGGGTGGGATCTCTGGCGGTGGTAAGGGCGGCTGCTCGCCCATCCCTGGACCAGGGAAGAACGGCATCATGGCCCCCATCCCTGACTGTCGGCGCTCCATCTTTTCACCGCGGGGAGTCTGAAAGAATAGAAAATACACGTTAATACAAACGCTACTTCAACCATGGTCAACTTACTTAAAACCAAACAAATTATGTTAAGGAATGACACATTAAACCTCGACCTACAGACGAGATTAGGTGTAACTCACGACCCAGTGTCCTGCATGACAGGTGGGCGGGCAGGGAGCTGTTAACTCGACACCCGAGGAGCGCGGGCCGCGGGGTCAACTGGGGTCGTTTGTCGTGAGTGTCTGTCTGGCACCTCGGACAAGGACGCTCTTTGAACCTTCTTCAGTGGCAGCTCTCTCATCACCACTCACTGTTTGTAAACAAGTCCACGCGAACACGAGTGGCTCTGATAATAGGTCATAATGAGGTCAGCTTAATGGTCATGTTCCCGTGCCATGTGCGGGTTTGTTTACAAACAATACCACGTGGTGTGTTACTATCACAGCTCAATCGTCCGTATGAGCTTGTGTGATAAAAGCTAGTTCAGCGTACGAGCTTTCCCCTACTTCCCTCCCCTCAGAGAGAAAGGGAGGGGGAAGGGGAGTCCCTCTTGCACCCTAGGGGAAGGTGAAGAGCGGGGGAGGACACAGGCCAACATCGCTCTTCGGGACCCTCGACAACCAGGCTACCGCTTAAATGTCAATTCTTCCTTCCCCCTAATTCAACAGGTGATGGTGGCAGGCGGCCCCTCACGGCACTCTCACCCTTACACACCCTCGCCTCAGGGTGCATCACCACCCTCGCCTCCTGCATACGAATGATAACGCTCTTGACCTTGAAGTTTCCATGGGGCAAGTGTAGCTGCCTCTCCCCGGCTTCCTTTCCCTCTCCCCTCTCTCGACTGGGTCAGTGCCCTCTCCACCCTTCACAAATACCACCACATCCTCCCTCCCTTCCTCTCCCTCCAAGGCCGCCCAAGGCCATGGATTGAAGGGGGAAGGACAGAGGGTGAGGGGTGGAGGGAAGGGGCGAGGTCTGTTGTTACCTCCCCACGTGCCCTCACACCTCCCCTGGTCATGAGGATGTTTAGCAACACGTGTGTGTGTGTGTGTGTGTGTGTGTGTGTGTGTTCGTTCACCCCTTACCACACTCAATGGATCCGTAAACACAGCATCACATAATTATGAAATACAAACAAATCACTAACTTGAACTACTACTACTAATAATAATAATTATAAACAAAATCCATTCTCAACCGCATTGCTTCATTAAATAAAACAAAATAGCGTCATGAAATAGTCTTTAAATCACTAGTATAATTTTATTTCTACCACTGTGCGCTTGATCATACTGGGAAAAACATATACTGGCACGTAAAGGCAAATTGGCGTCACTTTTACCTACAAATGAAGACTGGCGAGGCGTAAGAGTAAAGTATACGGGGTCACGCACCTTACGCAATACAATTACGCGAAATGGTTACTATATTATACTAACCACACCGTTATTTCAAGCATTACGCCACGTACCTCACATTAAGCCACATACCTTGAACATTAAGCCACGTACTTGTATCCGTTATTAATTTAATTCACAAATATACGGAGTGCGTTAGCGGTATGATTTCTGTGGTGGCTAACAAAGTTATATTATTGTCCTGGGATTACTGGGAGGGGGGTCAGGGGAAGGGGGAGGGGAGAGAACGATAGCGAGACCACTAATACTCCCATTCCACCCCCTCCCCTTACTACAACCATCCCCCACAAGGCTCTCTATCTCAATATGGGGCCACACTACAGGGGTAGTGGGGAGGTGGGGCAGGGGGTGGAGTGTAGTGGGGAGGTGGGTAGTGGGGAGGTGGGCAGGGGGGTGGGAGGCAGGGTGGGAGGTAGTGGGGGCAGTATTGGTTGGTGGTTGTGGTGGAGGGCAGGTTGGTTGGTGGTTGGTGGTTGTGGAGGGCAGGACACAGGTTGTGGTGGTGGAGGCAGTGGCTGGTTGGTGGGTTGTGGTGGTGGAGGGTAGTGGCTGGTTGGTGGTTGTGATGGTGGAGTGGGTAGTGGCTGGTTGGTGGTTGTGGTGGTGGAGGGTAGTGGCTGGTTGGTGGTGGTGGAGGGCAGTGGCTGGTTGGTGGTGGTGGAGGGTAGTAGCTGGTTGGTGGTTGTGGTGGTGGAGGTAGTGGCTGGTTGGTGTGGTGAGTGGTAGTGGTTGTGATGGTGGAAGGTAGTGGCTAGAAGTAGTGGTGGTTACTGGTTAGTAGTGGCAGGAATGAGTAACTAACAGTATACGGGTAGTAAGAGGATAGTGTCAGTGGTGGTGAGAGAGAGTAAGAGTAAATAAGTAGTCGTGATGATGAAGTGTGGTGGTGGTATAGTGGTGAGATAAAGTATCAGTAAACATGTAGTAAAGGTAGTGATGCAGTATCAGTGATGAGGGTTGGTAATGAGGAGGATAAGGCCGTGGATAAGGCCGTGGCAGGGTGGTAGTAGTGTAACATCAACGAGGTGGATAAGGCCGTGGCAGGGTGGTAGTAGTGTAACATCAGCGAGGTGGATAAGGCCGTGGCAGGGTGGTAGTAGTGTAACATCAACGAGGTGGATAAGGCCGTGGCAGGGTGGTAGTAGTGTAACATCAACGAGGTGGATAAGGCCGTGGTAGGGTGGTAGTAGTGTAACATCAACAATCTCTGTAACTTAAAAACAAATACCAATAACAATCCCAACTGATCAAGACAGGTACGACATAATTAACAATCATCAGGTACGACACTATGAAGGGCAATATCTAATCTCTAACTTCAAAAACCATATAATCAGGAAAACCAATGGATGATGGTTAATGTGTTGTTTTTAACTAGAAATCATCCACTCCAAGGTAGCTGTATCAGAGTTGTGAACCAATGGCAAGAATCATCGAAAAACACCACGATTCATTCTACGATCACCAATGCTTCTACTCCCTCAAGAAACCACCACAGTACCATACTTAAAAAACACGATTCAAACTACGCTAATCAATGCCTACATCTTCAAACATCATCCCTAACCACGACCACCTAGAAGAAAAAAAAATGTCAGGTGAATGTATTTGTGGGTCAGTACACGCACACACACACTGGAAGCTGCGTCAGGTGTGGGGCCAGAGATAAGACTGATAACACGAGAATACACAAAGCTGGGGGCACTTACTGTACTCCCACACTCTCTTCCAACACACTCAGCTCATCTTCACTTACTTTGACACTTCATTATACACAACTCATTCATACCTGTGGATTCTATGGTACTGTATTTACTCCTAGACTCATTCCACACAGACGTAAACAACTCATTCAGACATATACAAGTCATTTAGACATTAAAGATCTTGTCGACACGAACTTATAAGGAGTTTTATTAATCTTACTAAGTAGACACACATTTACCTCATTCTGGTCTAAAACGCTACAAAATGTTTTCATACGTTTTCTAAATTTGTAAAAGAAAACAATAGACGAATATCTTTAAATTATATGTTAATTCAGTGTATTAATGTGGCACTATGAGTCAGGTAATTTGGACCTGTTTACATTAAACTACGCTTAACTCTACTACAGATTCACATAGGCTTCAGTATTTTGACATTTTCTTATAAATTTTCAGTGTAATGTGGACATGGATTATTTCTTTGGTACAAAAAATTCCAAGTACAAAATATTGGCCAGTCCATTCCGGCCCCCACGACACAAGAGACCCAACCAGCCACCAGAAAAATGCCACAAATGGCCTGAAAATCTTCTTTCTCTTTTTAAACCACCGTCGGCCTGAGGATGATGAAAGACTATTAAGGTAACAGTTGGTCACACAATAGCCTGCCCCTTCCGATCCTCTCTTGGCCCTCCGCCTTCCTTGTGTCCTCCTGGAGTCCGAAAGGCCTTCCAATTTTCCTCCTGGAGTCCTGCCAGTCCGAGAGACCTTCCAGCAGCCTCCTAGAGTCAAATCAGAGTCCTATTTGTCTTCTAGCGTCCTTCCAGCCTTCCAGTTCCCTCTATAGCAGGGGTTCTCAACCGGAAACTGATACTAATATGGAAAAAATAAAAGGATTTTCAGTATTATATGCATATTATTTGGAATGCACTTTTTGAGGCAGACAATCTTGGAAAGGAGGGGGGAATGACATTCTGACATATGGTGAAAGGGGTGCATGGGGCAAACAAGGTTGAGAACCACTGCTCTATAGAGTACACTTTTTTTCCGGTCATGGAGTACTCCCTTCGTTTCCTCTTGCAGTGTATACTCTATATAGTCATCCTGGAGCTCTCCCACAACCTGAGGTTGTTAAGATCCCTACAGTCCTATTGAGAGCCACTCCAGACTCCTCCCACAGTCCTGTTAAGAGTCCCAGGCAGTTCCTCCTCCCGTCCTGGGGTGGATAGGCCTAATAAATACCACAAAAAAGAGACTCGGTAGCCTCCACATGACAACAGAGACAGAGCGTTATGGCTAAACTGTCCGGTGTCATACAGGACACACACACACACACACACACACACCACGGTCTTATCAATTATATCAAACACATCACCGTTACGATACTACCATCGTGTAAATCATCATACGAACAACATTAAGCAAGGTAGACAAAGGTAACATTCACTAGCTTATAATAGTGATAACGATACCCAAACTATGGTGATAACGTGACCTAACCCAACTGATAACGAAACTCCAGTCTTGATTTGCGTTTCACGAGGACACAATATGTATAAAACATAAGAGTCCTTTTTCCTCCAGCAAGACGTACGAAACAGTACCATTATACAGGGGTGAACAGGATGCCTTTCCTTCTGGTAACACTACCTCCGGTCTGGGGGAACGGGGAGGATGTAACAGAAACGTGGTTTTGGTAACGCTGTCTTCATTCAGAGGTATAGGGAGCCCTTCGTTCTCTGGTAAATCTTACTCCAATCACGAAACACCAAGTGTTACTATTTGATAACGCTGTTCATTTTATTCAGTCTAGCAAAAGAGGTAAACCATTTTAATCTAACAAGACTGGACCATACATAGGTCTGGAGGAGCAGAGGAAACGCGATTTGGTAACACTGACTCCCGGTCAGAGGGTATAGGAAGTACCTCATTCTGGTAACACTGACTCCAGTCTACAGGGGGAGAGAGTAGGGGGGAAGGTGATTGTGGTAGGAGTGTGAGCGGCTGTGTGGGTACGAGGAGAGTGGGCGCGGGCACCTGGAGGTCACACCAGTGGACCATTACTACCAGGTAATATACAACCTGACAGCTTAGAATCTCTTCACTAATGTTACGTCATGACAACTTGGCCTATCACACAACTCTCCTTCATATATTTCTTTATTAAAAGAAATAGCTAATTAAACTAGAACCTTGCAGTTACAGTGGTGGGTAAATGACTGACATGAAACGTCATCACTCACAACACCCAAATGATTTGTTGGTCTCTCTCCAACATGATTATATGTTATTGTTGTTTAATATCATCGTTGCATGGTATCGTAAATACAAGCCAAAACAAATTCTAAAACTACTGTACATCACAACACAAAGATGTGCGATACAGTATATATTAAACGCCAGAGCTCTAGACAAGAGTCAGCAAGAGCACACTCGGATAGGTGTGGTGTGGAGTGGAGAAAGGTGAGGGAGGGAGGGAGTCGACAACATAGTGATGTGGGGCAGGTGAGGGAGGCGTCGCTAGCGTTCCCACAACTGGCGTAGCGCCGCGGAGTAGGTCACGTAATCGTTATCCAGTAGTAACCTATAGTCTCTTTTCACTCTACGATTATCACGTACATTAATCACTTCCTCAGGTAATAAACAAGCACAATGATAAAAAAACTCAAGAAATGCCTCAAAAGAAGAGATATGTTACCTGTAAACAAAAGGAAATACAGTAACACCCAGCAGGAGAAATGTTTGCTAGCCAGGCGTGAGGTGGGGAGGCGAGCTGATTGGCGGAATGGAGGGTGGGAGGCAGAGACGTACACTTCCGTCTGGTATGGTAAGGGGGGATTTGGACACCTCAATACTGTCTATATTCACTTTCAAAGGCATAAAACCCTGATTATTCCTGTCACTATTAACGTTTAAAACATACGATAAACCTAGTCTAAAATTTCAAACTACTGTAGATTATATTATTAAAAACACGGAGATGCAGTCAAATTTCAACAAACTTTAAACTGTCTGCAATTCTGCCCTGTCATTCAATTAACTAAAAATCACAAAGCTAAGATAAACGTAATCACAAGATACACTCCAGCCACAATCATCCATCAATCATGCTATCAACCACAAGTAAACACAATGAAGGCCAAGCCCAGTAGTTTCTGCAATTTGGTGGTTCAAAGCATTTTACCGTATTAAGATAGTTGGATGGAATTAAGGCGTTCGCGTTTGTTATGATCTAATATTCTAAGCTATTCTCTTGTATATACAATGGTTACGTTGTATGATATTCGCATTAGGGGGTTATCTTTCATTGAGGTAGTTGCATATTTTTTTGTACATGCCTTATACCATCCATTATGTAGCATAATTGTATGATAAACCTATGAGGACAGTAGTTTTTAGTTTTATTGAATACTTATTAAAACACCTGTGTGATATAAAACAAGGTCACAAATAATAAAACACAACACTAGAGTCAAGTTATGAAAGGGGGATTCATCATCAAGTGAGTTCTACTGCAGACTCGTAAGAGTGTCAAGGCCACAACTGTCAGTGGGAGGAGTGTTGTGATGTGGTTGCAAGAGAACGCACGTGGCTGAAAGGTCGTGACTGGACAGCGTGGCGCCTCACTGCTTGCAACATACACACGTGTTTCAGGCTGCCACCTTTCTTCCCCACGTGAGATATAGAATGAATGGGGGGAAAATGAGAGACAAGAGTGAAAGGAGACAGTGAGTGTGTGATTATTTTTACACCTCACGTGTTGTAATCGAATTATTTTATTATTGTACTCGGAACATTTAAAATAAATATTTTTGGGTTCTAAGGAATTATTATGACATTAAGTTATTACTGGCTAACAAAGTCAGATATTATGTCTGTGGAGTCAGCATGACATTAATAACCAGGTATATTTCAAGGTGCACTACAAGTGAGTCATGAACCACATCAAGCCATGGGGTCTCTCAATCATTAACACAAACATGAATTTTAGTCATCTTGAGATTGATGTTATCAAGAATATTAGACTTGGGTCTTATAAAGACAGCCTGACTTGGGTCTTATCAAGGCACCCAAACATGGGTCTATCGTGACAACTAACATTGGTTTTATCAAGACAGCCAGACATGGGTCTTATCAAGACAGCTTGACACGGGTCTTATCAATACAGTCAATATATGGGTCTTATCAAGGCAGCCAAACATGGGTCTTATCATGACAACTAACATGGTTTTTATCAAGACAGCTAGATATGGGTTTTATCGAGACAGCTAACCATGGGTCTTATCAAGACAGTTAACTATGGGTCTTATCAAGATAGCTAACCATGGGTATTATGAACAGACAGCTAACCACAAGTCTTATCAGCCGTCAGCTAACCACGGGTCTTATCAACAGACAGCTTGACATAGGTCTTACCTTGACACCTAGATATGGACCTTTTTACTGGACACGTACAGTGTATACACTGCCCAGACACAATGATAAACATCCCATGTATATAACCCCAAACACCAATGAATACACTCCAGACAGACAATAGTCTAACACAACATACAAAATAATACTGAAACAGTATAACATGCTCAGGAGATGTGTATATTTTCCCCAGACTAGTGTATACAACGCCCAGAAGACAAAGCTTCCATACAACTATACAGGATATCACATGCCAAAGGTATACGATCCCTATACATACACTCAAGAGTATACATGACCTGGTCAAGTAAACATGTGTATCGATGTGTCTATTTTACTCCCGTTTGTTTACGTCGTGACCTAGCAACGGGGTCCGGCCGTCACCCCCCACAGTACGTGAACCACAACTTTCACTGGTTGGTGGCAAAACTGACAAAGAAATCCACGTTTAAATCCACCTAGCAGGTTTTACATCTGAATGAAGGGTTTCTATATGTGAGTGTAAGGGGCCCGTCTCCTGCGTTGAGCCAGTGCGGGAGACGACCGATCTATAAATACGCTAATAGGAATTTGTTCACTACCTCGGGGACTGACTGGGCTTTTTTCCTTCCCCGTGTTTACAGTGTATTATGAAAAGTAACCCTTTGTGGCAGTTGTAAGCTTGAAAGGAAGGCGGTGTGGGAGCAAGAAGGTACAGTTGTCGTGTCAAGGAGTAGACTCACCTGAGTTAGCAATCCAGACACAGGACGATCTCCAACAAACGTTCACGCGAAATCACTCTACTACGCTCGCACTGGCTGGCTCGCCGTCGCCTCACACTGGGGTTATACACTTATTTCCTCGTTATATAGATAAAGCTTATATTCACACTTGTACCCGTAATGAATCATGAACACAACAATATGGCAGTGATGGGTTAGACGTTGATTTTTGTGCTACGGCATAACTACTCCGCGGAATTTGGTCTACGCCAAGTGAATCGTCCGAATCGATTCGCTGGCAGCGCCGACACCGCACGTATGATGGGGCTCGTGAGGAGGCCAGGCTCTGCGCCGCAGCGCCCTATTATAGAAGCTATATTCAGTGTTCGCTATGAAAACGTTTATGAAGTTTCTGATTCGTTTATGTTATTTGTAAATTTTAGAGATAAGAATTCTTTTCACATGAATATATACCAATGCAGTGACCGCAGAAAGTTATCAGAGAACATACAGTGAGCGAAAGCATAATACATTTGTATGAAATTGTAGATCTGAAAAAAACAGACTCATCGTTCACTGTACGTGACGTAAGGTGACGTCATGCTGTCGGCCAATCAGACTCCACAACCCAGCTGATACTCTGAGTAATAAGCAAGGAATAGGTTTACCTGAATACACACTTCACATTTGTTAAAGCTATAGCTGACATAATTGCATTAATAATATCTACAGCGGTATAAATGCACTTTTATATAATAAAACTGAAGGACAATGCAATGTAAACAAAATAGAAACATTACTAAAATCTTAACAACGCTGCCCCAAGATTGTAGAGCCCCATGCTGAGGGGCCGACGCCGCCGACTACACATAGAAAGCTACATAGCAGCCAGTTTCTAACACAGCTGACTAAAACAACTCGCATTGTTATTGTACTCCCCCATATACCATTGTTTCATAGGTAGGAATAATATAATTTTAAAAAATTTACTAACATCTATATTGCCACATAACACTACTTTATGAATGAACAACGTATATATTACATGTCGAATAACCTATGGCGTTGCGTACGAGAACAGCAGGAGTGTATGGCAGTCATATGTGGAACAAGAGAAGCGGGCGGCGTAGGCGTAGTCACTAGGGCTTGGAATAATGCGGATACCAAAAAGAACATATTACAATATGTAAATTATTATTATTATCGCATTATTATTATTATTATTATTATTATTATTATTATTATTATTATCATCGTATTATTATTATTATTATTATTATTTTGTTCTTCCAATTCTTATTCTTAGACATTTCTCAGAAAGTTAAGGTCTTGCCGTGGTAAACATAACAAATAAGTCTGGATGTGCCACCACACGTTCAGCGTTTACAATAATGTCGCGCCGTTTGCACCAGCACAGCACAGCACACTGTCAAAATAATCCCCAGGGCAACAACAACAGTGCCATCGGGTCATAATATTAATAAAAATAATCATGACATGTATAATTCTAGATAACAGCAGGAACAGCAGTCAACAGGTATATTTCAAGACACGTGCAGCAAAAGCAGCCAAAGACTTGAAGTATAATTCAAAATAACAACAGCTAAGGTATGAGGTTATTTTATAATAACAGCAGGAACAGCAGTCAAGAGGTATAATTCGAGATAACAGCAGGAACAGCAGTCAAGAGGTATAATTCGAGATAACAGCAGGGGCAGCAGTCAAGAGGTATAATTCGAGATAACAACAGGAACAGCAGTCAAGAGGTATAATTCGAGATAACAGCAGGGGCAGCAGTCAAGAGGTATAATTCAAGATAACAGCAGGAACAGCAGTCAAGAGGTATAATTCGAGATAACAGCAGGAACAGCAGTCAAGAGGTATAATTCGAGATAACAGCAGGAACAGCAGTCAAGAGGTATAATTCGAGATAACAACAGGAACAGCAGTCAAGAGGTATAATTCGAGATAACAGCAGGGGCAGCAGTCAAGAGGTATTAGTCAAGGTAGCAACAATAGTAACAACAAAAAGAACAGCATGTCGCCGTTAAAAGTAACGGTAGGAACAAAAGTAATAGTAACAACATTAACGACGTCTGGTTTACCAACAATAAAAACAACAGCGATGACGTCATTTTGGGCAATAACGGCAGTAAGAGCAGTGAAGACCTAGGAGAGGAGGCTGTAGAAACAACAGTGTAGGTTAGTAACAGCAGTGAAGGGTGTAGTAACGGTAGTGGGGGAGGTGTAGTAACAGCACTAAAGACTATAGATAAAATATAGCTGCGTCACACAGAAGACCAGCATGGCACAGCACACACAGTTAATCAGGAACCAAAACAGCGTGAAGGGCAACAGCAGTTAGCCCACAGTAACAGCAGCGGCTACTCATCGTGACCCAATTCTCTCCACAGCAGCCAGTGACGCAAGAACACTTAATATGTCTGCAACAGTGACCTCAAGTGGAAAGTCACTCCTACGTCAACCATTCACGCAACCAACAATGAGTACGCCACCATGGTGAGTGACGCTCGAGGCGGTCACTCACTCCTACCGGAACGAGTACTCTGGACTTCAACAATGACGCTCGTATGCAGTGACCACACCAAGACTCGTAGAGTTGGACAGACAGTGTTGGTGATGGGAGGGTTAGTGGTGTCAGGACTAAGGGCTAATATTGTTGTGGTGGTGGCGGTGGCAATACAAGGGTAGTGGCGCGTGCCCACCACTAATATCTTGCGGTCAGTGGTCAACCGCATTTAGCAAGTTCTGTGTAAACGATCCTACCCTCAACTTCTACCCCATCCTAAGTACCCGGCCAGTGTTTACTACTGAGGGGATACTCATTACACGAGTGAACTATTTACCGAAGGGAATATCGCACTCAGTTATCAAAGGCATCAGTAGCAAAGATCTTTAGTAATTACAAGATTATTATTTTTTTTACTAAACTTTAATTCACAAAAAAAACGAACGTCAATTGTCAAGACTTCCTACGCAAGGTTGAAAACCGACGAGCGAATTCATATTAACTTTGAATTTAACATTAATATTCAAATAACCACCTATCATAGGTTAAACACAAGCGGAAACAAAAGGTATTACAGCAATCAACGCTACAAATTTGTAACTACAAATATAATAGAGAAATCTAATAATAATTCACATTGGGGTTAAATTCACGATTATATTAGAGCAATCAACACTACAGATTAATTTATAACAACAATAAGTTAGAATTTATAACTATTACACGTAGCCTACCTCCCTTCACCGTCCTGTAATCTGTTCTTGAGGGAATTCTAGATAAACTCCACACTAAGTCTCGATTTTAAGTATAACAAGTAAAAAAAATATAAATCCACATTACACATTTATAACTACAATTATGAGTTAGGATATATTAATAGACGTAGCCTCCTTTCCTCTAGCCCGTCAATGAGGCTGGATAATTTTCACATCAAGTCCTGGATGGAGTCAACAGGCTCGACCAATCAGCGGCCGCGTCTTATCCTTTAGAGATAGTCTGATTGCCAGACAATTGTTTACTTTAAGATAAACACGACTTTTGCCCACATGCATTTCCGTTTTCTACGCCTCACCATACTTGGAATTTCATCACCAATACCTAGGAAAATGATAAATGTTTTGACAGCTTGCGGGAAATTTATCTTAAGTTTCTAATACAAAATACAGGCGAGAGAATTTCAAATTAATGGCCAGGAAAGGGATGCCAACACGCCTATTTTCCTTCACGTTGGATACGCATTCTTACTTAAGTTTGACATTTTCCTTCTTTTTTCTTGCATGTTATGTTCTTGTTTTTATAATATATTTAATACAGTATATAAACGCACCGTACGCATTTCTTTTTTTAATAGTTAAAGTTGGTTATTAATGTTTCCCCGCGTAATTACTTTCATATTAAATTTTTTATCCACATGCAATATTTACAAACATTTTCAACTACGCATTAACATTTTAACAGGAATAATCTACCATAGTTGGAAAATAATAACATACCGGTACTTCATACCCTCCATGCCATATCTATAATTAGCCTTCGTTAACTTTTATAATTAATAAGAATTACATTCATAAATAAATATTATAACTATTACACATTAAAGATTCTTGATGTTTGGGCTAACTAAATTTGATGACGCAAGTAAACAGTTCCAACAATCTTCTCTCCGATTCTTTTCGTCGTCATCGCACTCTTTCTACTGTATTGTCCTCTTCTAATTCCCGTAATCACTCCTCTTCGCCCTCTTTCTTGTTCCCTATCATTCTCACAGCTTTATTGTTCGACCAATCACCTTATTATCTCTTTCTTCCTATCATTCTTTCCATTCGCTTTCTATATTACTCTCTCCCTGTCTCGTTATCTATCACTATCTTCGTCTCTGTCTATCTCAAGCCAAAAGAACAAATAGAACAGAATTGAGCTGAAATCAGCAATGTAATTGAAATTTTCCTCTACTTGTCCTCAACAAGGCTTCCCATCTCCAGGTTCTGAAGGCAACTACCGAACCCCTAGAAACCCCGAACCCATACGAATCCCAAACTCTTACGAACCCCAAACACCTATAATAACCCGGAAACCTTAAAATTTCCGAGTCTCTACGAACTCGAACGAATCCCGAGCCCCTACGAGTCTTTAACCCGTGACTTACAACCATTCTACTACAATTTATTATTATAAAAGAATCAGGAAAAAACAATGACTGCATTACTTAAAATTCTGACTTTGTTATTAGTATGGGGTTCGTAGTATCGGGGTTCAGTATGGATTCGAGCAGGCAGTTTGTGGTCAACTTTCTGACCACAATTTATTGATGTATAGTGACAAAGGCATCTGCTAACTAATACAACGAGTTCGTTGCAGTCAAACAAAGGATGCAGCCAAAGTATTATTGAAACTATTAGACTGTCATTAATGCCTAGCTTCAATAACTTCTTTGCCATCATTAGGTAAACTTATCTAACTTGTTAATACACCTAACATTAACTTAACACATAATATTAACGGAATTATAAGTTCTGATTTTGTTGTATTCAGTAAAATTAATATGCAATTTCGTTACACATTAAAGGTTTTTCATATGTACATTGAAGGGGTATAGCGAATACAGTATATTTAAATGAGGATTGCTAAATACTGCTGCTAATGTCAACTGTTTACTGTTTGAGGCAGATTGAACTAATGTCTACCCCAAGACCAACATAAGGCTGTAAGCTGACTGCTGTTCCCTTACTGTATTACTCAGCTCATGGATAACTCGTGTAATATACGTACTGTA